TACTTCAGTAAAGTTTTAACTGCAGGACTGTTACTTGTAACAGAGTATTGTACACGATGGTAGTGTTCCCTTTAATAGAGTAAATGATCGGAGGAGTGTGTTGGATTTGTTATTCTTCATCTGAAAGGTGAGTGAATGAGAGCTGGGTAGCTTCAGCACCATGGACAGCGTATGATGGACTCAACAATGCAGAGCACAGGCCTATATCACCGCTTACTGTGTTCTCCTAGCATCATCTTCATCACTGCTGGCAACAGATGACAAGTCCACGTAAATAAACCTTTAAAAAATAGTATGTGTAAATAGTGAGTGTAATCCATAATCCATTCTGATTAAATATATAACTGTATTACGCTGTCAAATATGATAAATAATTTGATAAACACTGTCACTGCTTAAATATTTCTATTAATGAAATATATAATATGCTATGAATTACCTTCCCTCAGCAACGGAGAGCCCTGGAGAGTTGCTCATTGTGTGACTGATGCCAGGTCCATGTGAAAGATGGCCTCTTTCCGCTGTATTCAGTCAGACCGCGGGGCTTCTCATCATTTGCTCTGGCCAACGCCGACTATAAGTCCTGTCGGGAGAATCCAATACTGTCCTCAGCAGAAAAACGACAGGAGCAGTCATCTTTAAAAAGTTTTAAATGAGCTGTGTAACCTCTTCTGGTCGAACTAATGATAACTCCTATCCGTCAGAAGCAAAGGTTGAAGCAGCTTTTGGAAATTGTTACATTTCCAAAACGTACAAAGTGAGAGCACAGGTCACATCTCATTTCCTACCGAAAGTGAGCACTGGTGTCCTTTAACCTTTTTTATTCAACCTGAGGGAAATGAAAAACGACCTGTTTTGCTGATTAGATATGACGACTTGTTGATAAGTCAAAATGAGGCATGATGAAATAACATTGGGCTGGGAGCCACACATTGCAAAGCAGCTCCATACCCAGTCTGTGTTACATTTTTAGGGGAGGTATAAACTGGGGCACATGTCAAAAAACTGTTAGGACACATCACTATTATCAAGGTCGGGGCTTTTTGCCTTCCACATTGTTTATCACACATTCAGAAACTTCATATCCACTCTGAGTTTAGCTGAGTCTTTATAAATTCAGCGTGGAAATAGGCCAGTTGTTGCGTTTAACACAAGATCCGTACACAAGCGCTAAACTCAGACACAGAGCGGAGTGAGACAGAGATATAATCAATATTAGAATAAGCAACAGAAGAATCTGGATGATCCAACAGTTTGTCTGTGAGTGAGAAAGAGCAGGAGTCAGGATGGCAGGCGGGCAGAACAACCCACTGGGTGGTTTGACCATTGGACGAATGCTGGGGCGCAGAGCTGGGGCTTAAATATGGCGGCAGCTGGTGGCTCTTGATTCCATTATGATAGGCAACAGCGATCACATGAAGAGGAGGCAGGATGGAGCAGACCTGCCAGCCACACCCTGTATCAGCACACACACTCCCAGACAGGGAGAGAGGAAAACAAGAAACAAGAGGAGAAGGAGGCAGGAGAAGTGCAGATTCCAAATCTAGGTCCATTTTTGCAAAATTGCAAAATATCCCTGACTCATTTTTGTCAAACTCACAAGCTGTGAGTAAAAGGAGAAACATCCTGAGCTGCAGTTAAACAGGAGGTTTTGCAAAAGTCTCTCCTATTAACACAAAAAATAGGCAAGTAATGTCAGTCGTGCATCCAAACCTGGGTCAAATCTGGCGATAGTCAACCACATGATGGTGCTTTTGTTGCAAAATTATGAAAATTTTTCTTTACTAGCTTTAGACTGTGAATGTGCTCTCTATAAAACACATATAACATGGGCTCTAAACATTTATCATTAAAGATAAAACTCACAGAAAGGAAGTTATGTCTTATCTTTACATCGGTGTGTTTGATAAACAATCGGGCCAGTAGTTTGCTGTGTTGCCATATTGGACCCTAGGTGGCGCTTGGTGGGATTTCCTCAATCCCTGACTTGTTTTTAACCTGAGACTCGCTCCATGCTCATAGGCCTTTAGGTTGCGTCACCATGATGAACTACACGGTGCAGTCTTTGTGGCGTTTTGGACATATTTGGTTTTCATGACCAAAGACATATCTGCTCCTAATTTCCACGTCTGCTTTATAAAAAAGTGCAAGGAGGAAATTTTGGGATGTTTGACAAAGTACAAAAAAGGATGGTGACTTAGAAAGGAGGACTGAAAGTTTGTCTTCTCAACAAAGATTTTTAAAAGATGAGTAAAGACAACTATGAAGAGACAGAGAGATGCATAACGACAACAAAGAGACACAAAATGAGTCACAAAGACCCCAAATGACTGCGCTCACACTGTTTATCGCCACAGTATCCAGTAAGGAGCTTGTTGCCGTGCATGTGAAAATCCTTTCTATTCGTACTTCTGTGGCTGACAGCTTGTATGAATCTGATATATTCTGACAGCTCCCAGCCTCCAGTACTTATTGAGCAAGTGCAGCTGACACATTCATTCCCTAAGTCATTCAACGCAAGACACCGGGGCGTCCTCACATCGCCAGTTTCAGTGTCGCTGTATCTTGACCTGATTTGAATGTTCTGAATACCTAGTTTACACCCTACACATCTGTGTGTGTGTGTGTGTGTGTGTGTGTGTGTGCGTGCGTGTGTGTGATATGATAGACATAGAAAGATTGTACAGTCTTCTCTGGATTAAGCTTCCGGCCATCCTCTGTGTATTCCCCCAAGTCTCTAAAGCCAAATTACTTGCTTTATCTGGAGCTTTCAGTCACATCACATTTCCCTCATGAGCAAATAAAACTGTTGATGAAGATTAAAACAGACGTACACTTGATGTACTTGAAATTTTTTCCTTCCCAAACACCAAAGCGAAAAACCGGCGATCAGAATGTGTATCAGTCAGGATCATTTAAAGAATGCTGCAGCAAAGAAACCCATGAGTTCTTGTGATGGCAGAAGCTCAAGCTTTAAAATGTAACAAGGGCTGAAGCTATAGAACTGTTTTGGCCGTAAAACACAATAATACAAAAAAAACAAGCGAAATTGTAAGAAACATCATGGACAGATCCTTAAAAAACTTCTTCTTGATAAGAAATAGTTGTGAAAACTGTGAAACTAGTTTTATTTCATTATCTGAAGCGCTGGATTAGTTGTTTCCGAGGAAGGGCTTTATATTTTCATGTATATTTATGTGTTTTTTTGTTTTAAAGCTCAGTTATTTATCATTTAAAAAAGAGAATACTTGGACTTACTGATTATTATTAAAAATTGGTGCTCTATAAGTATTTTGGGGGCGAAAGGATGATGTGTGTGTGAATCAAAAGACACAACAGTGTGTGTGCTCATATCGTGATGAAGGACCATGTCATCCAGCGTGACTCACTGATGTGTTTTTAATAGGTTTTTGTAAATAATGGAGCTCTACTGAAGTAGGATAGATGCATATGATTCACATAATTTTCACACTCATCAAACCACTTGACTCCTTATGTTGCACGCATGGGAACATTCTCACCCTGGAAGAAGAGGGAGAAGTGTTCCGTCGTAGAATAAAGCAGATCACTCCGGCAAACTTTGTATTGATTTGCAGGCATTCTGAAATAAGTATAGCAGAGCCATCACACACCCCCTCACTCTAGGGGTCAAGCTTTCAGGCCTATTTTGTTCTCTTGGCATGCACCACGCAAACACTCGCCCACCTGTGGAGAACATGGTGATCTCACTCATCATGATATATCACTTCTTGCATCTGTGTACACCAGTGCCTATGGTGGGGTTATGCACCGCAGCTCTGCAATAATATATATAATTCTTTATTGCTGCTTTCAGACTACGAAGTCCAAACATTTTGTGAAAATACAGCGAGACAAACTCCCAGCGAACCAGTTGATGCGATTGATGTGAAACTGGATGAACACTAATTGAGAGTTGCCATACACGATGAAAACGCGGACGAAGACGTCAACTTGGAAAGACGAGAGATAAATCATATCTTGGGCGAAGAGTTCTGACATGATGGTGCAAACTGAGCTTTCCACAACGAACTGTATACGTCAAGTCCTGCTTCCAACGTGCTGAGGCGCCAACCGTCACCTGAATGTTCCGGAAATGTTCCCCGTCGTTGTGAACGGGTCCGATTTCCCGTCAATTTCCCGCTGCAGTCTTCATATGTGAAAGCCAAACTCTGGAAAATGTCCAGATCCAATTTGATGTTTTGGTTACTGTTGACACTGTCGTTGCCGACAGTCGCATCGATTCCTTTTCTCTTCTCCGCCACAGTTTCCATCACTGTGTAAGTGTAGATGTCACTTTGATCACAGATCCTTTTGAAACGTCCCGTTGGATGTCTTCGTGACTGAGGCTGCTCCGATCTATGTCCACTTGTTTCTTTAGGTTTTCCTTTAATGCTAACTGACTTTATCTAATAGGATGTTTCTGTAAAAGAACAACAGAATGTATTTAACCTTTGGTCTGTGTGTGTGTGTGTGTGTGTGTGTGTG